AGCATTTTCTGGTATTTTGAATGTTTCACCATTTTCTGCTTTTATAATAATAATATATATATATATATATATCTGACTTCTGACTTTTATTTTTCTAAATGTAACACTTTTTCACGAATTTCATCATAAATAAGTTCCAAGTGAAATAAATTTTACTGATAACTTTTAACAATTCACATTCGAAATCTACTCTGAATGTAACATCATAAGTTGGAGCTTAAGCATTTTCTTAGCTCTAAAAGAGTGGGAACATCTAATAACCCACTTAAGCATTTCATAATACATACTAGAATTTTGAACTCCATATTTGCTGGTACACATGTGAGTCAACCAAAGGGTTCTCCAAATGAATAAAAGATAATAAAATGATGGTAAAGAGAAAACAAAAGTGTAATTATTGGGCATGTAAATGTTGAGGTCCATAAACAATGATGGAATCCCACTAACTATACTTTAAAATGCTTAACTGCTATTGAATCATTTGTCAGTTTGAATCAAATGCCAACCACATTTTATCATTACAGATTCGTAGTGCTTTGATTAACTTTATGGGGAGTGGAATCTCAATTCATTCGCTGGAAAGTGAAAAAGAAATAGTTGGGTTGTTATTATCCTTCCATACAGGAATCAACCACCATAGTTTAATGGCCTGGCTCATCAAACTCATATAAAGAATATACGTATATCCTATGCACCCACCAGACATACACACTTGCCCTCCTAGTCTCATTCCATTGGATAGTAAGTGTTTTTCTTCTTTCAATTGTCTATTTATAGATGATTCTCAATGATTAATCGAGATATGAAACTCTCTCTAAAGTAACGAAAGAAGAATCAGATTCTTGTCATGAATGCAAAGATGGGTTATTTATCGCTAAAGTTATAATTTCTTATTACGCATATTCAAAAACATATATAGGGTTGACAAGAAGTATTGCATACAAATATTGCGCACTAACTACTATGTCTGCTTCTCAATCATTGATTGATATAAATTCATTTTAAAAGGACATGAGTTAAAACTCTCGTAATGATTATGAAGATAAATACTTTACCACTGAAACCGTAAATTCCTATACGTCCACAAAAAAAATGAGTGGTTGACGAGAAGTCCTTGCATTACTAATGGTGGATAGGGAACTCTAGCTCGATGGAAGATCAATAAATCAGCTAGAAAGCTTTTAAAAGTTGGCATTGACATTTTGACAAAATGAAGGTCGATACCCTGAACCATTATTGGCGATTACAAAAGTCAAATATGATTGGAACGTGTGAGGAGCTAAGAAGAATAAACAAAGCCTTGAACATGCAACACGAAAAAAGAAAGAAAGCATGGCCGGCATGGCATAGTTGAATAGGCTAGGAGACACGGAATTAGGCCTTATGGTGGGCGGATCATATTGGATAAAATCAATTTGACCAGGCTCGTACGTCAAGACTTGCTGTTTACGGGCCATGACCCAATTGTACCCTGAATCTGTACTGCATTAACATAAAATGTTTTGTTTTTTTTTTTGGGTTGGAAAATTAAAATAAAAAAGTTTTTTTGTTGGGGTCAAAAGTTTTTAATTTTTAAATTATTTAAATTTTGTCTTTTGGAGATGGTTGCCGCTTTGCTTTCAAACCCAAGTCTTCTTATAGTACAAGTAGGTAGGCATATGGGAGATCTAGCTCTGTCGATGTCTCTCCCATGACCTCAAAATGGGCTCTTGTTTTCCCTTTTCTCTCTTTTTATTTCTTTTGCATGCACATTGAAAGTAATGTTCCCAACTTGGTGGGTTTACAATTCTTCATTTAATTCTCAATCGAAAAATGATTTGCCTTTGGTGATGCCCTCTGTTTAGTTTGAAATAATTTGTTAGATCATTAAAAAGTATATATGAAATAACTTAGAGCATTCGCAATAACTCCCTAAACCATCTCCTTAGATAAAATTTAGGGAGGAAGTGAGAAAACCCATATCTAATTATGCTCCCTATCCTAAAATAGAGAGACCTTTAGAAGCTCCTAAATTAGAGGAGAGAGAATGGACACTTAGGGGCTTCCTATAATTTAATGAATATTTTAAACTTTTAATTAATATAGCCTATTATATATATATATATATATATATTTTATAGAGATGACCATTTGTGTTGAATTAAAAATGAATTGACTCCCTAAACTAGAGAGTATGGTTGAATTTGAAATTTTATAGAGAGCTCATAAAATAGCTTTTATGTGTTTTTAGCTAAATTTTAACTAAAAAATAGAGAACATGATATGTTGATTAAAATTTATGCAAAAAATCAAATCTAAATGTAAATTAATATTCAAAAGACACATAGGCAAGTATTAAAAAACGTTTTAATAAAATTATTTCAGAACACTAATCAACATCGGGTGTTTGGTCTAGTGGTATGATTCTCGCTTCGGGTGCGAGAGGTCGCGAGTTCGATTCTCGCAACACCCCTTTCTATATATTTTTCATTTTTCATTCCTTTTTTGAATTCGTGGGCTTTTTTTAAAGCCCAATTAGCCGACATTAGGCTCGATGGGCCAACCTGCCCATACAAAAACTGTTTCCTTATACAAGCAGCAGAGACCGGAGATTTCATTCCTAGGGTTTTGCTGGAAGTCTTCGTCTCCCAAAACCTCCTCTCTCTCTCTCTCTCTCTCTCTCTCTCTCTAATTCTTCACCATGAGCAGGTCAGGTCAGCCTCCGGATCTCAAAAAGTAAGCTCTTCTGTCCCCTATGGTCTATTTTTCCGTTTCGATTTTGTTGTTTTCGTTGTGTTTATTATTATTTTTATAAATTAAGATGCTAATTAATTGAAATTTATTGCATTTTTACAGGTACATGGACAAGAAGCTTCAAAGTAAGTTCTTTATGCGGTCTAAAAAAGTTCTATCGTTTTACTTCCTCCCATCATGATCTCCCCTATATTTTGCTCTATTTGGTCGCTGAGAAAATTCGGCTAAGAAAACCAGTTCAACTTACTATTATTACATTATCTGGGTATAAAATATTGTGGGAAAGACACAAAAAATCTATATTTTTAAAGAAACAATTGTGCAGTTTCTTTGGCAGTAGCATGTATGATATGTTCATGATTTCATCCTGTCAACTATAATCATGAATTCAATGTTTTTCCTGCTAACAGTGCAACCTCTCAATCATGTATGAAAATGAAAATGTAAGCCCAAATTGATGTGCACAACTAGGTTTCTGTTTCCTGTACAAAAAATGTGTGAATAATCTGGATTTCTAGAATTCTGTGCGAAAGAGAGTACTTTCTCAAGTTTATACTATTTTTTTTTCTTAATGTGAAAGTTGGTTTTATATTTTGAATTCTAATACACAGCCCATGTAAAGCACACAAAGATTTATTTGTATTAGTCATCTATTAGTAAGGATCTTATTTTTTCTGTCTTTCTTTCTCTTCAAAAAATTCTGTGGGCAATTGTTGTATGAGCTTCTTAGTTGCTTTCCTTGCGTAATATGATCAATGAGTTTATTTGGGCTTCTTTTCCTTTTTAAGTCAACTAGGCGTTTTGGAGTTTTTCAGATAGTAAATGTTTGAGCACTTGGGGATTGTAGTGCGAACTCAAGTTGTATTTTATAGGTTACATTGCGACCACCACAATTTCTCCAGATGATCCTTTTAACGTTTTTTTTTACTTTTTTAGTTCTTACAATTTGAAATCATCTTCACTAAACTGCCCCCTCTGTAGGAGTGTTTGGGTGGATGGGGGATTTTTACTTGCATGGCATGTGCTGCCAAATTTTGTGAAACTGCTTGTATACTTGATACTGAGGGGCCTAAACATGAATAAAGCTTGTGTAGATTGTCTTCTTAGTTGAAGTTACGGGGAAGAATAGTAGAAGGTCGAACATTTATGTCTTACATTCGCAGAAACTATTTTTTTGATACTAAGACATTAGAATCTGCATTTTTTATTTTTCCTCTTTATTGTTACCAGAAACTTTAAACAGTTGAATTAACTAATGTCTTCGATTGTAGTCAAGCTGAATGCAAATCGGATGGTTGTTGGAACACTTCGTGGTTTTGACCAGTTCATGAATCTAGTGGTTGACAACACCGTAGAAGTGAATGGCAATGAAAAGAATGATATTGGCATGGTGGTAAGTCCCAGTTTCTCCACTTATTCTCATTGTTTTTATAGTTCCACTGCCATTTGGCCTGATGCTCCAATAATTAAGTTGGTTTGCTTAATTCTTACTTATATTGCTGCAGGTGATCCGGGGAAATAGTGTGGTTACTGTTGAAGCACTTGAGCCAGTGGCCAAAAATATGCAGTGATTCTGGCCTTGGGCTATTTTGGATTGGATGTATTCTGTGTTGGTATGTAGTTTGGACATATAGCTGCTTGTATGCAAAGGAAATTTGTGAAAGTTTGGGCCTTATGGTGGTTAGGTGATTTCTAGATTCCCCTTTTCAGGAGATTTATGAGCAAAATGTACTTGTATTGGTTCATATGGAATATCAGTTCGTTGACTTGGTATGATATGCAATGTAATGGTCAGCCGGAATGCGAATTATAAGGTTTCCATTGCTAATGTCCATGCTTTGTTAATTTGGATGATATCTGTTTTTTTTTCCAGGCTGAATCAGACGAGCTCTTGTTTGTTCAGGAGCTTCTATGGCAGCCCATATTTTTTGTATATTTATTTGTCTAGTTGAATGGTGGCATCATATGCTTGACTGAACTCCGGAACTGGGCAACAGGATCCATGTTAGCTTAGGGTGAAACCTTTACCTTTGTTCTGCCTCCGACAATATGTCAAAATAAGTTACCTTAGGTTGATGAAATGCATAAATGAAGGCTTCAGGGTGGTTCCTGAAAATGAGATTGCATTTGTATTAAGTTAAGAACAAATGCTGAACACAAAATGATGCAAGACCAGAATTCGAATTCTCTCTTTTTCCCCGTTCGGCCTCTCATAGAATGAATGCTTTATGAACTCAACGGTAACAATAGGAGAGCTACTGTTGGACAAAGATAATACAGAATTGGGTCCAGATGACCTGGGAAGCCCTCTTTTTTATTTTGGGGGTCAGTATGGGAAGCCCTCTTTGCAACTCAAAACGGAAAGGAAGGGTGTACATAGAACAAAAGGAAAAAGAAAAAGAAGAAGAAAAGAAGAAAGTTTCTCCTCTCTGTTTCTGTTGGGATCAACGTTTACATGGGAAAAGGAAAAGTTTTTTGGGGCATGGGTGAAGGAAACCATTAACGGTTGCCTTGCCCGCCATGTCTAGTTTGAATTTGAAAGAGGGTAACATACTAACATCCATGAGTGTCCTAACGGGCGTTTCCTCCTGGGGGTTTGAAGCTTCTTTTGCAGTCTGATAAAATAGCAACAGCTCAGCTACAACTGGGTCTGCTTTTTCCTCTCTTTTCTGTTTTCTAACTTTTATTTGATAGATGCATATTCTTCACAAAAACAACCACATCTAAATCCTGAGTAGGCTTGGATCGAAAGCAGCATTATAATAGTTAATCTTCCTTTATTAGCATGTGCTAAGAGCTTGCAGTTTGGGGCAATGGCACATCCGCAATGTTATCTTACCACATTGTTAGTTCAGATAAATTTGATATAATGATCATAAAAATGTACGCTTGAATGTGCGGTTTTAATTGACGGTTTGACGCACATAACATGTTTAGATTGTACAATAACAAAATAGTCACCACTTCCACTTGTGTTAAAATAGCTCTCGCGAGAAATGAAGAACTGGTCCCCCAACCCCAAGTGTCTCCTTTAAAAATTACCAATTGTTCTGCAATTGTAAGATAAGATGGCATGTGTTTGGTGTACATAAATATGATATGAAGATTGTGATTGGATCTGCATCTGCACCAAAAAGATAAAAGAGAAGGTTCTGTATTCTTGAGCATAGAAAACTCTTTGCTTGTCTTGTACTTCGCTGTTGCTTATTCCTGTTCTTCATGTTCATGAGATTCATTCCTTTCTTTTTTCTTTTTCCCTGTTTTCTTATGTATAAAGATTGGGACAGTAAATCACCCAAGGAAAAATTACAAATTACTGTAACCTTTTGAAGCACTCATAAGAGACTTTGCCTCATCGTCCAACTGTCGATCTTTTGCTGAACAATATAATTTATCAGCTACCTTTGGCACCATGCTTAGTAATCACACTCCCTGTAAAATTACCACATGAATAAAAGAGGAAAATATATACTAAGTGAAAGTGGGGCACGAGAAGGGGTAAGATGGTCTTTTCTTTTGAGCATCACCACCTGTCATCATCAGATGGTTTTAGGTAATATAATCTTTTCTTTAAGAGATAAACCGTGTTATTATTACCTGTCATTCCACCCATAAACTACAAAACAAAAGTCTTTTGAATACTCCCAAAGTCCCAACATTCAGATGCGTGTTTGTCAATTCCCTCAATTTCATCTCATGGACGACTTTGGTCCCATTTTCAGCACTGTCCTTGTACATTGGTAAGTAATGATGTGATTTTAATTCTGTCAACCAGTATATCCTCTTCATTAGGAATTTTATTTTTAAGATCTCCGAAAACAATGAGGGGAAGAGTCGAATTCTTGTTCTAAAAGAATTATTAAAAGTTACTAGAATTTTTTCAGAAAACGAGTAATTTCTTAATTTATTAAATTAGACTTTAAATGACATTAGTCAATAGAATTTAGTCCAATTGAAAATGACATTTATTTGTAGATCAATGGCCTCAAGGGCCTCAAGTTTGAACGTATTCGTAGTGTGTATGAGAAGTTTAGACAATCGATTGTATTCAAAGTATAAGTATTAACTTAAGATTACTGCCAAAATAGTGCTCTCAACAACTTACACATGGCCTAAGGGTGAGGGTAACAGACAAGCAAGGCCAAAAGTTGAATGGCTACCAGAGAAGAGAACAATGGCAAAAAAGATTGAATCACTGTTAGAGCCTCAAAGCCTCATATAGCCCATAGACTTGCTCACAGTGAGTAGAGCAAAGCAACACCAGCTCCATTCCTTTACAAAAATCAGATATATATTGGATGACTTTGCTGTGAAGTGGAAACAACCACCACCCACCTCCTCTTTTTCCCTCTCTATTCATGTAAAATCTCTCTAGAGGTCTACAATAAACAATTAAACAGGCCCTCTTCTCTTCTCTTATTATTTTCTCTTCTCTCTCTACTCATACGCCTCCATCCCCATCTCAACCTACCACTCCCCCTCTCTCTATCTCTCTCTTGCTTCTTCAACCCATTGAGTATCAAAGCCAGCCAAGAGAGAGAGGGAAAGACAGATATTAAAAAAAAGAGGGAAAATGAAGAAAAGTGATGACAGTCACGTCTCAACCTCCAAAACCTTTCCTTGAATCCAACTCCACTCAACATTCACAATCCAAAGGATTGGTCTTTCATAGTCCCAAATATAGTCAAAATCGCAATAAATTAGCAAGATAAACAAAAAAGACTGTTTATTTTTCCCTCCCCAAATTTGCCATTTGGGTCCAAAACATGACTGAGGTGCTCCAATCGCCATCCCCATCTCACTTCCCTTCACCCTCAAGCTCTTCCACACCATGTGCTCCACCTACACCCAATGATGGGCCATACCCACATGCCCTTATTAACAGTCCCACAATAGAAGACAGTCTCCAAGGCTATTTGGGCTCAGAGGAAGAGGAAGAGGAAGAAGAAGAAGAAGAGGAAGAGGAAGAAGGAGAGGAAGAAGAAGAAGAAGAAGAAAGGAAAAGGAAAGAAAGGGACAGAGAAGGAGATCAACTTTCGCTCTTGACACTTTTGGTGACTGCTTTCAGGAGGTCTTTGATTGGGGGTTGTAGTAGTACTACTAGCACTGATACTGGTAGAGGAAAGCTGTCTTCTATGGAGATTGGTTGGCCTTCAAATGTCAGGCATGTTGCCCATGTCACCTTTGATCGCTTCAATGGCTTTCTTGGTTTGCCTTCTGAGCTTGAACCCGAGGTTCCCAGGAGGGCTCCAAGTGCTAGGTCGGTCAATTACAGATTTTGGTCTTTTTTATTTCGTTTCGTGTATAATTCTGTTTTGATTGAAAGGGGTTAAAAGTTCTCTCTTTTTCGTTTTTAGAATTGCGTTATGGGTTTCTGATAATTGGTTAGATCATGCTATTCTTTGAATTTCTTCTGTTCTGGGTTTCTATTATATGGGTAAGCTTCATCCTTCTTGAAAATTTTGTCATGGTTGCATATATCGATTGGTTTGCATTATTCTTGATAAAGGTGGCTTTTTTTTGAATTTGTCTCGAAAATCCCGTGTTAGGGTTTCATTTGGTCGGATAGCTGATAAAGCTATCTAAGGTGTTTTCTGGATTGTATTGAAGCTGCATTCAATGATTGGGAACCCGCATTCAGAGGCATTTTGTTCTTATATGCCTTGCTGGAACTTGCTTTTATCTTTGTTCTGTGTTGTCACATGCATTATTTTGCTTTTCCTTGCTGGGCATTTGGTGGACTTGATTCTTCTCTGGAGCAAGTTTTTCTTTCACAAAAAGTTCACCAATTATTCTACTTTATTCCATCAATAATCTTAGCCAAAATAATTTGGTGTCCTCCTATAAGCATCAAGAGGGATACAGTGGATGCCAATTTTCTGTGTACCTTGTAATATATGTCTGGTCTAGAATTTTCATCATGATTCAATTCTGTCAGATTTGAGTACTTTTCTTGATGCTATGAGTGAATGAGTGTGCTTCATTTTTCTCTGGTGTTGTTTTTTCTTCTTCTAGTACTTAGAAATTGTTGGTTGGTATGCATATTTTTAAAAGATGTTTCAAATTGTTATGAGTTACTGAGCTGGAGCTTTGTGCTGCTCAAGTAAGATGTGAAGATAATATGTATTCTTTTTTTCCAACTAAGGCCTGCAATAATCTTTGGACTCAACAACTTTTACATGTTTGTGCCTGTTTATGTGACTTTTTGAGTTGATTTGGCATGATACTTAATGTAGAGAAAATTGGGAATGGATATACCTATGTTCTTTATTGATCCTTGTAATCTGCTGCATACTTTTTAATTTTAAAATCATTTTCGAGGTTTGTATTGACATTGATTTCATCTGCAGTGCAAATGTTTTTGGGGTTTCAACGGAGTCTATGCAGCTTTCATTTGATGCCAGAGGAAACAGTGTCCCCACTATACTTATTTTGATGCAGAGACATTTGTATGCACAAGGTGGTCTTCAGGTATATCACTATTTTCCTTTTCTTCCTTTCGTCTGCCATGTCCAGGGTAGAGTGTAACTGGAAAACTACATTGTCTCGGAGGGTTCGACATAATTTATAAAGTACAAAAGTTTGAGATTTCATTGTCGCATGCAGCTTAACATTACAAGTTTGTGCATTTTGGTATAATTCAAACTACCTTTAAAAAAACTGAAGTTCACTCATACATGCAGGCAGAAGGAATCTTCAGAATTAATGCCGAGAACAGTCAGGAGGAGTATGTTAGGGACCAATTGAATAGGGGAGTAATACCAGAGGGCATTGACGTGCACTGTTTGGCGGGTCTTATTAAGGTAAGGCAGTTACCATTTGCTCATTTTAGTCTGATATTTATATGCCATCCATTGGCCGAACTCAATGGTTCTGGTTCATGGGTTGTAAATGCTCTATTCCCCCCTCCCCCAATCAACTGCCGATGATCTCATCATTGAGCACTTTCATTTGTTAACATGAGTTTTGACGTTTAATGTCCTATTGCTTCTCAGGCTTGGTTTAGAGAACTACCAACTGGTGTGTTGGACTCTCTCACGCCAGAGCAGGTAATGCAGTCCCAGTCGGAAGAGGAGTGTGCTCAACTTGTTAGGCTCCTCCCCCCAACAGAAGCCGCACTGTTGGATTGGGCAGTAAATCTAATGGCTGATGTTGCACAAATGGAACACTTCAACAAGATGAATGCCCGCAATATTGCGATGGTGTTCGCACCAAACATGACTCAAGTGAGTGAAAAGTATACTCTGTCTAAAATTTGAAGAAAAGGAAGGCCAAAAAAACCTACTTTCATGCATAGTTTTCATTATTAGTGACATCACCACACCGAGACGTTCTATATACTTGGGTAGGACTCAATTGGCTAGCTCAAATATCATACTCATGTCATCCATGCATTCAGCTTTAAAGGCGGAAGCTCGTTATTCCTCCCAATTGTCATCTTGAAAGCTTGAAGGTATAGATAATTAATCAGAAAGGAATAAGAAGAGGTGATAATTTGAGGGAGATTTTATTCCAACCGTTGGTTTTTCTATTACATCCTTAATATGTTCTAAGACTGGATATGAGTCTTGTCATGAATCACACCTAGGAAAAACCTTCATTAATCTGATAACTACACGGTGTTATTAATCTCTGCGTCCAATATCTTTTTTCAGTTTCCATTTAGGGTCTGATGCTATAGTCCTGTCCAATGTCGAGGGGTTTCCTTTCTTTAGTATGTTTTCATATGTTTAAGGCGACCACTTGTGGTCAAGGTAGGTTTAGTAACAGTTTCTGTAACTTCTATTTATCGCAGATGGTAGATCCTTTGACCGCATTGATGTATGCTGTCCAAGTGATGAATTTCCTCAAGACTCTTATTGTCAAGACACTAAGAGAAAGAGAAGAGTCTATGGTAGAAACAGCCCCTGTCCCCCGCCTAGAGCCTACTGATGAGGATGGGCACCAAAGTACTTTTCAACCATATCTCAAAGAGGCCAACAAGGAGGCTAACAAGGAAAATGAAGAGGAGAACGTATTTGTTGGTGAAGAACCCGATTTAGAAAGCCCGGCTCATTCTGCACAAGATGACTCTGCAACTGGAACTGGATCTCAAACTTTCCTATCTTCTATCAAGAATATCATTCCTGGAGGAAATTGGTTTCTGGCTGATAATTGTCCATGTGAGGTTGTATCCCAAGTTAACTCTTTGACAAATGGGCTCCAAGAAGATGGTTCAACAGGTGCAGGTAGAGAGGCTCAACCCAACATTTGGAAGAGCAAAACAGGTCAATCAAGCGGTTCGAATCTGAAGAAGGGATCCAAGAAGGTTAACGAGCAGCTAATGATTCAGACTGCTGGGCCTGCAGACAAGAGCAAGAGAACTGGAATTCTTAGCCGCATTAATTCGAGGACAGAGCTGGCTGAAGGTTGGCGTTGAAGAGTGTTTGGGGCTGTTTTTGGGTGTTGGGGAGTGATGAAACAAACATGCCCCAAACATGTTTCTGTCTCCCATGTGGAAATATTGTGTATGTGTCTGTCTGTATGATCTCATGTGTGCTTTAAGTTTGTGTGTGGATGAAATTTCTTAACCTTGTCTTGGACATTTCCCTAACCCATTCTAACATGTTCTGTTTTTCAAGTAGAGATTGAAAGTGGTTGAAAATTCCTTGTTTCACTAACAAAGAAAATAAGCATATCATGGAAATGTTTATCATTTCAATGAATCAAATAATCATAGAACTACAATGCCTCTCCGGAGCTCAAAAATTTGTCTGCTCATCCAGCTCTATTGAATACCGGTGCATATCCCACATTTATTGACTACATCCCCTGCAAATTACAATGCTTGACAAAAATAAACATAAGTTACAATCCGTGAATGATTTTTAAGGAACATCCCCTGCAAATTACAATGCTTGACAAAAATAAACATAAGTTACAATCCGTGAATGATTTTTAAGGAACGCATGATGACTTTTTAGGGCCAGTAACATCTTATTTTCAATCCGTGAATGATTTTTAAAATTTGTGAGGTGCAAGAGATTTGGTACCTTAGAGCATCTACAAGGGAGATGTCAAATACCAAACATCAAATTTAAATTTGATGGCTGATGTGGTAATTTGACATATTGTAAAACTCTTTATCCAACCAAGATGTCAAATATACATTTTATTTTATTATTTTTAAAGGCAGGTGGGCCCGATATTTAAGAGTAAAATATTAAATAGAGTTAAGAACTATACATGGAAGAGGAGAGAAGAAAGTGAGCTCAACATTGAAATAATAATAAAAAATAAAAAGACATCTCAACATCTTGGCGTCAATTTTGATAGCAAAATTGAAGGATGTCAATCCAACTAGGATTTGGCATCATGGTTGGAAGACTTAAAATGTCTTTTTCTTGGGTTAAAACTTGCCACGTTGAAATTGGCATTTCGGTTGAAGATGCTCTTAGGTGGTTAAGAGCATTCACTCTTGCTCTTGTGCTTAAGCGTTCAACTTACGGCTCTCCTAATCTCCACTTGTAAAAGGGAAAAAAATAAAAATTGGGGTTTACATATTCATTTAAGGCTTAATTATTGATTTGCCCCTTGAAACTCTGTCTCAGTCTTATTTTGCCCTCTGAAATTCAAAATGACTCACTTTACCCTCTAAAATCCAACTTGGTGTCTCATTTTACTCTATTCCGTCATCTCCGTAAAAAACTCTGTTAATTCCTCTTATGTGGCATAGTGGGCCCACTTTTTTGCTTATGTGTTTGGCACGTAATTGCCACGTGTGCATCCATTGTAACTCACAAAGTAAAAGCTGGAGGTGACTTGGGTTCAAGATAGCCCAGCTCCATATTTTGTGTCATAAAGCCCGCCGAGCCCAAAACCCAACCTCCAAAGTTCCGAACTTTTCCACCTTCTCCGTCTTTGCTTTCGTCGTCGGAGCCGTCGGAGCAAGTTCGTTGTTTAATAAGCAGCCTCACAACATTTTCAAAGAATCCAAGGTACTCTCTCCTCGTTTCTTCTTTCTCTCAATTCTCAAAGCAATTCTTCTTTTGCTCGTATAGACCAGGAAAGTTCACTGCTTGCTTGAGAGGTAACCCAGTTTTTATTTTGCTTTGTTTTTCAGTCTGTTCATATTAAAATCGTGATTCTGTCCATGACCCAAATTTGGTTAGAGTGTCACAGATTGGTAGTATGCATGTTTTTATTCAGACGCAGAGCGTTTTTGAGAATGAATATTCATGGCCTCCAAAGCAATTTTTGCTCTCATTCACCTCTGCTACCAGTGCAACCTCCATCTCGAATGTATGTATTTACCACACAAATTATTCAATACCATTGACTGCTTTGTTTAATTAAAATGAAAGATTTCCTTCTTAGTGAAAGCCTTTTGAATCGGTACTCTGAGCTTTTGTCACCGTCTGAGAAAGACAATGTTTTGGGTATGCGTGGAGAGGAGCTCAAGAAAAGAGCCTTGCTTGCCCGGGCATTGGTTCGGACTACCATCTCTAGATATGTAGGTCCTCTCATTTTGCTTTAAAAAATGACAACTCATGTTGTTTATGTGGTTATTGTGAATGTTCTAAACATTGCTGTTTCATACTAGATCAGACAAACCATCGAGTAGATCCAAGATCCTTAAAGTTTAAAAAGAACAATCATGGGAAGCCTGAGGTATGCTTCTTTTTTCTTACCCATTGTTGTCTCGAGAAAATTGTTTCTATGCTCCATTTACTTGGTTGATTTTTCTTACCATTGTGTATTTTGGGTATTTTTTTTTCTTTTCCACATTTTAATCTTCTTATTCTAGGTAGAGTGGCAAATTGCAGATGACTGGCAGCCACCACCACTGCATTTCAACATCTCACACACGTCTACCTTGATAGCTTGTGGAGTAACTGTGGATTCACCAGTAAGTATTGCGAGTATTCAAGGGGCCACGGATATATTGGATTTAGTCTTTGGATTATATTAGAGTGTCTATGAGTATATATGTAAAAAATTGTTGAACTTACGAGATTTCCTCTAATTATTTTAGATTGGTATAGATGTGGAAGATAAGCAACGGAAGTTGAAGAACCATATCTTAGCTTTTGCTCGACGGTACTTTTCTTCTCATGAAGTGGAACATTTAACTTCTATTTCGGACATTGAAATTCAGCGTCAACAGTTTATAAAATTATGGACTCTCAAGGTCTGTGAAACTGCTTGAACAATGATAATGCATCAACTTCTATTTTTCAGAGTTGCACACATTTTCTTTTACTTGATTAAAATGGTACATTCTGCTGGATATACATGGGTAGTTGTGTAATCTGTTAGCATTACACTGTTAACGCTTGCAATAAGCTTTTGTTTGTATAGTTGTCCAAAAAAAATTCCCTAGAGATTAGACAAGGGAAAGAAACTCTTGAAAGCACTTATAGGTATCATATGCAAAGTAGAAGTAGTGGGGATGATTAATAAAAAACATTTGAAAATAAGTATCAATAAACTTCAATGCGAACTCAAGAATATACTAAAAATGCATAACTCCTCTTAATTGAATTTTGAGAGTTACGTGTAGGTTATGTTTTTCTCAAGCTTTTTCTTATTGCCATGGATCTCATTTCCAGGAGGCATATGTGAAAGCATTGGGGAAGGGCTTCTCTTCTGCACCGTTTAAGACCTTTACCATTCGAGTGAGGGATGCAGCTAAGAGAGGCCTTCATCTTTCTGGGGACATAGATTCTGAGGTATGTCAGAGATGGAAAACAGAAATTTTATTGCAACATGTGGAGGCTTCCTAGGTATCAAACTCATAATTCATGTGATATAGAGTCCACAATTGAACATAGCTGTTTAGCATGCTATTCCCTTGGCTACAAAGATTATGAGCAGGCATTATGAGCCATGGTGTAGAGATATTATGGTATACTATTGCTTATGCAAAAATTACTTCTGGTCTAAAATATTGACCATAACTCGTAATATACAATTTACATTTTTAAAAGATGTTTGAGCCTCTGATTTTGTTGTTGTTGTTAGATATCTGAAATAAGTGTTGAGTCTCTTGGTCCCATGAACCTCACAACCAATTGGCAATTTTCGCTTCTAGAGTTGGCTGGCTCTCATTATGCTGCCATTTGCATGGAAAAACATAAAGCCGTTGGAGGTGAGAGTCTTATCTTTCTTTTTTCTTCTATTTAATCAAAGATTATTACTCTGGATTAAAATGAAAGTAGTGGGAAAAGGAAAAATCACAATTTACATTAAACCACTTGCAGAGAAAGGAAATGCTCCCATGAAATTGACAGTGCGGAGAACGATTCCATTTGTTGAAGATGAATGTGTTACAGGAACTGATGCGGTTTTACCAATAGGCGGATTGAATTGTTAGTAGTTTTTATAAGTAATTCTATTATTCAATTGGAACTTATGTCGGAAACTGAAAATTCCAATCATGTCATATTTAACCCATTGAAAGGCAAAATTCTTTCTCTAAACAGTGCCCCCATGGCCCTTCTCCATTGTTTGTAACTTTGAATGTTGGAAACCAATATTTTTTTTTTCAGAAATTTAAATAATTTACTTTATTTTTAATTGACCACTTGGAAGATTATTTACTGACAACATTCATAAAACAGATATCTGTACAAACTGAGGGTTAGTGTTACCTCTAGCAACTCTGAAAGTATGAAATATAAGTTATTTTAAGTCTGCAAATTACAAAAAAAAATCTTTTTCTCCTCATTGAAGAGTAATATTCTACTCTAATGACATGATTTTTCGGGCTTCTTATAAAAGAATCACCTAGAAACGTTTAACTATGTCTTGCCCCACTAGTATGGTAGGAAAGTAACCTTGCCAGTGATTCTCTTTATTGTACTTTGAATCAATGTATTGTTACACAGAAAATCCATGAACACATTAAATTGGGATAGGGATATCAAAATGGATTTTGCTCATCACTTGCAGGAAACTTGTAACCCTTGTCCTTTGCATTGTGTCTTCAATAACCAAAAATCCAATACGTAACGACGGACCTTGAAGCTATCTCAAGATTTTGAACCCAAGATCTCCTTTCCAATTCAAACTTTTGGAAACTTGAACCAATCTGGACGCAATGCACAATCAGAAGCATGCTGGGAACAGTTTGGAATAACTTTTTAACCAAAGCTTGTTGATTCAGAGACAGCTGCGAAGGGGTATCACCAGTAGTCTTTACAAGAACAGACTCCATTCCTGAAATGATGAAAACGAGTTGCATCTCTGACAACAAACTGGCGATCCACAATCTTGCTAACCAACTTTATAAACAAGTGACAGTCTCCACATACCCTCAAGTTCTTTATCACTACGATCTCGGTCCCCGGTTCGGTGTTTAAGAGCGCAAATGCAACTGTCAATTTTTCACTGTGAACATTAGCACCGATGAGTTGTTCTTCGTTTCTTCCTCGACCAGGTTCCTTCACTAAAGTTTCTAATTCTTCCAACATTTTGTATATTTCTTCTGCCTGACAGTGGGTTTTATCCCCAGCCAAGAAAACATGGACTCTTCCTTTACATTCAACATAGCTACACCCTGGCTCCTTCTTGAGCTTCCTCTCCCTCACCATAACTCGAACCTTTAGAACCCCCTCTAGATTCTTTGCATCGGAGTATATATTCGACAACAACACATAGTAACCAATATTGGTTGGTTCAAGCTCAATGACATGTTCAAAAGCTAACTCTGCTATCTCTACATTTTTATGTATTTTACAAGCACCCAAGAGGGCACCCCATACAGCACCATCAGGCTTTACCGGCATTGACTCAATTAGTTCCTTGGCTTCCTGGAGTCGACCTGCGCGGCCTAAAAGATCTACCATGCAAGAGTAATGCTCTGGACCAGGCTGCAACCCACATCTTTTCTCCATTGCAACGAAATACTCTAGCCCCTTATCCATCAATCCTGCATGGCTACAGGCAGACAAAATGGTCACAAACACTGCTTTGTCTGGTCTAATTCCAGTCATAATCATTTTATTAAAGAGCTCCGATGCAATCTCTCCATGTCCATGCAACCCATACCCACCTATAATTGCTGTCCAAGAAACTAAGCTTTTCTCAGGCATGGCATCGAAAATAGCATGAGCCTTCACCAAATTACCACACCTAGCATACATATTAACCAGAGCATTGCTCAAATACGGGTTGGAACCAAATCCACAAGACTCTATCCGTCGTTCTACCTCCCGTCCAACACCGTGTGCACCAATGTGAGTACAAGACGAAAGAACCCCAACTAGTGTCACGGGGTCAGGACTAACACCACAAGATTCCATCTCCTTGTACAAGTTCAAGACATGAGTAGCAAGCCCATTCTGCGCGTACCCAGAAATCATCGCATTCCAAGTAATCAAACCCTTCTCAGGCATTGCATCAAACAGCTTCCTTGCATGATCAACCGACCCACACTTCACGTACATTGTCAGCAAACAATTCGTCACAGACAAATCAACGTCAAAGCCACACTTAACACTACAACCATGAAGGCACATCCCGAGACCCAGGTGCACCGGAGCCGCGCACCCCGGAACCAAACCTAACATCGTAACCGAATTAACCTCCACACCCGCCGCCCTCATTTGACGAAACAACGAAACCGCATCAGAAAATTTCGAATTTGAAGTGTGCCCAGATATCAAAGCATTGTAGCACACAGTTAGCTTTCTCGAGTGGGGATTTTCATCGAACACCCTACGTGCATCGTCGACCAAGCAACACTTACAGTACATAGAAATTAATGAAGTTTGCACAAATGGTTCGGGCTCGCAGCCGGTTTTGACGACGTGGCAATGGAGCAGGGAACCGGCCAAAGGAAGCGAGAGGGCTGCGCAGGATTTGAGAGCGAAGGGGAAAGTGAAAGCGTTAGGTGAGTGGCCATGGTGGAGCATTTGGCGGTAAACAGTGAGGGCTTCGAAGAACAGACATTGCTTCGATAGCTCTCGTAAGCGAGTGTTCCATGGAGTACTGGGTTGGGCCATTGTGGGTGGTGGTCATGGCGGTAGAGGGAGAGACGGTGCGTTTTGCTACAAAATCGAAATAAGAAATTACCGAAAACTCCCTCGCGGGAGTTACCGCTGTAATTGGAGGGCAAATTTAAATTTGTTCCGTGAAATTGGAGGGTCTATGATAATGCGGTGGTACGCGAAGCACCTAAGCAAACCAGAGAAGCGGATAATAGGCCTGGATAGAGCAAGCATCAGCTTTGGTCCGGAAAACTGGAAAAGAAATATCTTAACGGCGATGGAGGCCGTACATTTCTCGACCGTTGTTTCCCGCCATTTCTCAACGACGTCGCATTCTGTGTCCACGAACAGAGGCTTCTACGATTCGAAGTACGCGGCGAGGAGCTCGACTGCTAAGCTGGGCTCTTCTTGGACTGCTTCACGCACTCCTGCCTGGCTCACTTCTCGAAACTTGTTCACTGTAAGTTCAAAGCCTCAAAGGGGTTTCGCTTTATTTTCTGTTTGGTTCCCAAGAAAACGTAGGAAAAGAATTTAAATATAGCACTGAATGTTTCATACTTTTGCTCAAAATTGTTGATAGAGAGAGATATGGAGTTGGGTGAATTCCAAGCAAGTGACTATTACGAGAAAAGAGTTGCGGGGCATTGTGAGAGCTGAAATGTTTGGTCAATTGACAAGTGGCCTCGAATCGGCTTGGAACAAGCTCAAAGGGGAAGGTTTTGCTTCTTTTCCATTTTTCTTCTTCTATGTTTTAATCAAATTGTCTAGTATCAAGTGGGGATTTTTATTAGTTTTTTTGGAAGCATTTGAAATTCCATAGTATACTCAGATTGATTGCTGTATTTTGTGCTGCAGAGGTTTTGACCAAGGAGAATATTGTGGAGCCTATGAGAGAAATAAGGAGGGCTCTTTTGGAAGCAGATGTGAGTGGTCTTTTGGATTTTAATTTCTATGTGTAAGGCAAGGTGGTTTATTTACATTTTCCTGCTGTGTTAATAGGTGAGCCTTCCTGTTGTAAGAAGGTTTGTGCAAGCTGTCAGTGATCAGGCTGTTGGTGTTGGGGTTACTCGAGGAGTGAAACCAGATCAGCAATTGGTCAAGGTCACTAGTTTCTCACGCTATACGAAGATAGAATTCTCTTGCTCGCTTCAGTGGAAAGCTAGGTAGTCTCTGTTGAGTGTTGACTTCTAATGAATTATGATACTCAGCTGGTGCTTCTTTCAGATTGTGAATGATGAGCTAGTGAAACTGATGGGCGGAGAGGTGTCTGAACTTGTTTTTGCAAAATCTGCCCCCACTGTTATTTTATTGGCTGGTTTACAAGGAGTCGGGAAGACAACCGTATGTGCAAAATTGGCTTATTACCTTAAGAAACAGGTGCATTTCCACAAGCATTCCTCATTTCTTGTTCATTAATATATGCATTGGAGCTATATGTAGTTTACTTTTTTGTTTCTATTTTCCTTTTTCTGACCCCATGACATACACCAATCACAGGGGAAGAGTTCTATGCTGATTGCTGGTGATGTATACAGGCCTGCTGCCATTGACCAACTTGTTATTTTAGGTGACCAGGTATTGAATTTTTCGTTGTCAACAAAGTGGCCGATTACATTTTCATTTTATTTTTATTTTTGGTATGTGTTCATTCTTATGTTAAATTCATAGCTTGTAACAGGTAAAGGTGCCGGTATATACAGCAGGGACTGACACTAAACCCTCAGAAATAGCTAGGCAAGGTTTAGCAGAGGCCAAAAAGAAGAACATAGATGTAGTAATAATGGATACTGCTGGAAGGCTTCAGGTAATTCTTCTACACATGTGATTATTAGGTAATTCTGATATGTTTAACTTAAGGTAAGTCTTGCGAAAGTCTACTGGTTGTGTTAACTTTTGGCTGGGGTTTCTTTTTGTTTTGTTTTCTTTTATTTAACAGATAGACAAAGGAATGATGGATGAGTTGAAAGAAGTTAAGCGGGTATTGAACCCCACAGAAGTTTTGCTTGTTGTGGATGCAATGACTGGCCAAGAAGCTGCAGGTGTTCAGACTTATCATTCAATTTTTTGAGTTTTTAATACTCTAAAGTTTAATCACCCAAATTATACATATTCTATCTTCTTTTCCTTTCTTCCGTTATTGCTGCAAAATTGGATATAGAAGCAAAATTAGCACGTGTTACTGTGTATGATCTATCTGCAATATCATGTACACATAAGAGTTCCACATAGGCAATTAATTGAACTTAATGTTCGAGATTAAAAAAAAAAAAAACAAATTCACACCTATCCAAATTAAATTACGAGTTTTGCAGCCACATTCGTTGATTTGAACCATATTGTTAACAATTTGCATCCCATTTGATGATCTTCGTGCATTCAAAACTTCAAATACACAACCAGCACAATTCCAGTTATTGATGTTCAGAAAGTGTAATATAACCATGTCACAAAGAGAATTATGAATACTTCTAGAAATAGGCTGACTATCTTCTTTGAGTTTTGCAGCTTTAGTCACAACATTCAACTTAGAGATTGGGATTACTGGAGCTATTTTAACAAAGCTAGATGGGGATTCCAGAGGTGGAGCAGCTTTGAGTGTTAAAGAGGTTTGGCTGTTGTTGCATTACTTATTTGTCATAGTAATCTCGTTTGTTCTGCCCCATTTCTTCATCATTAAATATCAGGGGAATGCAATACTAAGAGTAATTGATTTATGGTATAGCAGAATCATGATTTGAAAATCTCAAGAGTTGAGAAAATTAACTCTAATCTCAAGAGAAGAGATAGTTAACTCTTTCTAGAGGAAGAATCACTTATGATATTTAGTTTTGTATAATTTGTCATGAATTTTATTTTCAATATTGTTCGTGGAGTGTAACAATATTTTAACAAGATATAATATGTGCATTCCTCTTTAGCATTCAGAGTACATAATGTTGCGTTTTGACATGCCATCATAAAGTTGCTCCAGTGGAGGTTGTTCAGATCCTTTGATCAAGATGGAGATGTCTTTTGGAGTTGTTTTGTAAATTTGAGTGATGGGAGATAGTATTACTGCAGTCATTGGCTCATTGTGGGTTTCTTTCTTGGTGGCAATTATTGAGTTACTGTTGAAGATAGTATGACTAGAGTCATTTGATGTTTCTTGGTGGCAATTCTTTTTCATAAGGAGTTTTGTTAACTGTTGAAGTATCTCTTCTTGCTAAAATAGTTAAGCTACCGAAAATATTTTTTTGTAATTGTTTTCCTAACAATGAGTTAATGACAGGTATCAGGAAAGCCAATCAAACTTGTCGGGCGAGGAGAGCGGATGGAGGACCTTGAACCATTTTACCCAGATCGTATGGCGGGACGCATATTAGGAATGGGAGACGTTCTCTCATTTGTGGAGAAGGCACAAGAAGTTGTAAGTTCTTTTTCTTTCTTTTTGGTTTTTTGGTTTGTAATTTCCACTATAGATTCCCTAAATATTTATATTGAACATAGTTATAATTGAGTTGTCAATATAGATGCGCCAAGAAGATGCTGAAGAATTGCAAAAGAAGATAATGAGTGCAAAGTTTGACTTCAATGATTTCCTAAAGCAAACTCGTGCTGTTGCACGCATGGGTTCTATGACTCGTGTTCTTGGAATGATCCCTGGTATGGGGAAGGTATGAAAGTTTGTTTTCCCATTTTCCTGCATTATTCTTCTAATAGGTTCTTTGGCTTTTATGTATGTTGTGGCATACCTTGAAGGGGCTCTTGTGGTGACCATTCTCTATGTTTACTTATGAACCTGAAAATTTGATAGTTGTTGAGATCCAGCAAGTTCCTTTTTTCGGTTGTATTTAATTCTTTGAACTTTCTCATTTACTTAATGAACAGGTTACTCCTGCACAAATTCGAGAAGCAGAGAAGAGTTTAAAGATAATGGAAGCAATGATTGAAGCAATGACCCCTGGTCTCTTGTTCTTTTTTATTGATTGAATCTGCCATTTAGTGATGATACTTTAAAGTTGCTTCGTGGTGCACTGTGGGTTATATTTAGCTTTCTGATTTTCATCTTCGATCACAGAGGAAAAGGAGCAGCCAGAGTTGTTGGCAGAATCTGTCACCAGGAGAAAAAGAATTGCTCAAGAGTCTGGGAAAACAGAGCAGCAGGTTTGAAGTGGCTATCTATGTTTGACATGTTGTCCTTGTATTAGCTTCCCTGAAAAGAAGGGTTTTATATGTTGAGTAATGATATAAAATTAGCTGCTACATTTAACCATATGCCCTTAATGATGTGAATATTAGGTGAGCCAACTTGTTGCTCAACTCTTCCAAATGCGAGTTCGAATGAAGAATCTAATGGGTGTAATGGAAGGGGGATCTATTCCTGCACTGAACAATCTTGAGGAATCCCTAAAAAATGAACAAAAGGTGCCATATTTTCCATTCAGCTTCTGCTCTGTAATCTATATGCATGCTACCCTGCTTTTTAGTTTTTCCAATTGTTATAAACTTTGCTTGGGAGATGCTTGTTTATCAACGTTTTATGGTTTGGATTCTCTTATCAGGCTCCTCCTGGGACTGCAAGACGGAAACGACGAACTGATTCAAAGAGGCAGTTTGTTGGCTCGGCATCTCGGCCCAGTCCTCGTGGTTTCGGGGGCGGGAACTGAGTGATGACAGCAAGGGGGATTTCAGGTCAATGAGTTGCATACTCTAGATATGTTATTGTTAGATATCTTGGGGTACAACTACACAAGTTTAACTTTGTGAAGTTGATGCTCCTGCAATAGTCAGTGTATCAAGCACATTGTATATTCACTTTTCTGTACGCAGTCTATTTTTGTATTAATGAGAAATTCATGCATCATTCCTGGAGACCAGTCCAACCATTGCCTTATTGTAGCTACTTTTTCATAATTCTTAAATCTTGGCGATTATGCTATGGTTCATCACTATGTGGAGTCCATAATGCATTAACACAAACTTAATTCCAAATCTAGATATTAGAGAAATTGGTTCTTAATTTGTTCTTGGGTCCGAGGGTTTTGGGATGTATTTCCCGACATATCCTATTAAGCAACAGGCACAAGCTTCAATAGTGAGATGTAGACTTGTCCCTCA